TCAGAACCTCCAATGTATAGTCTGCTAATAACATTTACCAATCAGAACCCTCATACATATACAGTCCGCTTATAACATCCACCAATCAAAACCTCTTTATGTATAGTCTGCTAATAACATCCACCAATGAGAACCTCCAATGTATAGTCTGCTAATAACATTTACCGATGAGAACCCTCTTACATATACAGTCCGCTTATAACATCCACCAATCAAAACCTCTAATGTATAGTCTGCTAATAACATTTACCAATCAGAACCCTCTTACATATACAGTCCGCTTATAACACCCACCAATCAAAACCTCTAATGTATAGTCTGCTAATAACATCCACCAATCAGAACCTCCAATGTATAGTCTGCTAATAACATTTACCAATGAGAACCCTCTTACATATACAGTCCGCTTATAACATCCACCAATCAAAACTTCTAATGTATAGTCTGCTTATAACATCCACCAATCAGAACCTCCAATGTATAATCTGCTAATAACATTTACCAATCAGAACCCTCTTACATATACAGTCAGCTTATAACATCTACCAATCAGAACCCTCTAATGTATAGTCTGCTAATAACATTTACCAATCAAAACCCTTTCACATATGCAGTACGCATATAACCTCCACCAATCAGAACCTCCAATGTATGGTCAGCTAATAACATCCACCAATCAGAACCTTTAATGTACAGTGTGCTAATGACACCCACCAATCAGAACCTCCAATGAATAATCTGCTAACATCTACCAATCAGAACCCTCTAATGTATAGTCAGCTAATAACATTTACCAATCAGAACCTCTAATGTATGCAGCCTGATAATAACATTATCAGGAAAAGATGAAAACGGACTAATTATTATACAAATTAGGTAATAATTATGCACAGATATTCACCTAAAAGTAACAGGTCTTTGCATTGTACCAGAGCATCTATAGCTTCACTGTATACATTGTTGTTAGACAGAAAACAATCTGTCAGAGGTCCACCCAAGGTGTCTGCATATATAAAATCAAAAAGGAGTTGAAAATAACCTTCTTTGTTTACCAAAAATGCTATAAATATTTGCAAAAATAGAGCATTGAAGACATCGTCACAAAATAAACAGATCTGACTGAGATCAACTCAAGGTACCTATATACAAAGTATCGCAGTAATTGGGCTTGTAGTTCTCAGGAAAACAGAAACAGTTGAACGGTTGAATGATGACGAACAATCGCCTACATAAACAACTCCGAGCAGAGCTAAAAACAAATGAACAAATTGTTACACCACTGAGGACAGCATTCTACGAACATCACTACATCGCCGACTATTGACACATTTAGCCTCAGTAAATGTCTTAATAAATGTCTACAAGCTTTGTTTTTTATTGCCAAATTTGTGGAAGTTTTATTCTGATATTAGGTTTAAACCCTTTCAGAATAATCTAAGGACTATCCATGAAAATATAAATAATTCCTGATTAATATAAATCTATCACCACAACGCCATAAGTTACAACGCGCCGTAATTTTGCAGTAGTTAATGGGGTATTTTCATCCTATAATATCAGGAAATGCGAATTCCGATTATAGAATGATTACGCGCGTAAGCGTCCTCTTAGTTAAGGACAGTGGACAGTAGCAGAAAAAAAGGCATATCAAGGTGAAAGACAGAGGATAGTAGCAGAAAAAAGGCATGTCAAAGTTAAGGACAGTGGACAGTAGCAGAAAAAAGGCATATCAAGGTTAAGGACAGT